CAGTCAAATTAATTTGTTTTCATATGCCATATTCATATGTATCACACACGTAAGGGTAACACACAATCCTATTGAACAAATGCAATGCAATGGATAAGCTTAATTTCCACTGAAGTCACAGATAACGTCATATATCATATTTAAACAAATAATTTCCTTGTCACTAAAGCATTGACTACTACGCTATTCATCGTCCTTAAATGCAGGAATTAAGTTACATGTTCCGTTGTACAGCCACGATGAGGCTGTTTCTCAAGTGTGATGATAATACAATTAAGAGGCATTGGTAATAATATTAAAAACAACAATGTTTGGGTCGTTCGTCAGATAGGCGGTTAGCTGCAATAAATAACTCCAGTTCAACAAACCATATTACAATATCTAAGGGAGCGTTATTATCTTGAAATGTGACGTTCATATTTTAAAGATACACACATTTCATTGTGAGGTTGATTTAATATACACTAAGCCTCTCTTCAACAATACGTTGAAGTTAGCTAGTCTATTTTATGCTATAGTAGAGCATAGCGAATTTAAATGAACCTTAACAATGGATACAGTAACCTAAATAGCAAACTAACTATCTAACGTACAAGGATGACCTTATTTGTAGCAACCTCGCACAGAAGCCTTTTGGTATACAGTAGCATCCCACTTAATGTTTTACACTCTTGGATGCTACGCATAGCATCGTTAGCACAGATGGAGCTACGATTGCTCAAATGCTACCCCAACTCTAAACATTCATTAACGTTAGCTTAATAAAAACACCAGTAACATAACCTAAAGTACGCAGGGTTGACTTACCGAAGAAACTGCATTCATGGACGGTCTGTTTCAACCGCAGATAAATCCTATATTTGCATGACGAATAGTCCACCAGGAGCCAACACAACAAACACGGCCGAGTTCAAGTAGTGTTCTCCTCATGAGCTGAGCCGCTGTAGCATCACGGAGCTAACGGAGCTAGCAGAGAGGAGCTAGGAGCAGCAGTCCCGTTGTCATGAAGGGGGAATCTAACTATATACAGAATATGTTTTTGTAGATCCAGGCTAGAAACATGTTCATTTTCTGATGTTAAGTTGGACATTTTAACAAAGGGTCTACGGGAATTGCTCCCATCTGCATCCATCGCCTACAGTTTGCAGCATTGGGCTTCACCGCACTGTCCCGGGGTTTGCCGCTTGGCTCTGATAGGCCAGAAGTCGGTTTGATTGCATTAGGGCTCGATTGCTTATCCTGTCTGAGTAGCCCGGATGAGGCTGCGTCGCAATTTTTGACGTCGAATTGTACACACCGAATTTTTTTACATCGAATTTTAAACACCGAAATATTTGACGTCGAATTTTTTTCACTTGAATTTTTGGGATCTGAATTTGAACATTCGAATTTTTTTAACTTGAATTTTTACATTTTTATTTCACATAAGTAAATTCGGAGCAAAAAAAATTCAGATTCATGATTTTCAAAGTAATTATTTTCAATGCTATAAATTCGGTGTCTAATAAAATTCAAATACTTCTGTCTCTTGTTTGCATCCATATAAGACACTACACTACCCATAATCCCCAGCTATCGTTTAGGACTACAGTCCCCGTAAGGTTACCAGAGCGTCAAACAGCTGTGTGAAATGGAACGAAACCACGCCAGACTATCCAAAACTGGAATCGAACACCCCCCCCAGAACTACACATGCTGGCTATTGTGTTTCGCAAAATGTTCTATGGGACGTCTCTACTGAACGTTTTCGTTTGTCCCACAATTAGAAGTTGCCAGTATTAAACACATTGGTGTTATCAAATGTAAAACATATCATTAATAAATGGGTGAAAATCGCTTGTGTCCATAATGCGCAGCATTAATACCCACATGACAGCTCATTGTTACTTTGTAATTCTACTCCACTACAATTCAGAGGTTAACCTGGTATTTTTACTCCACTGCATTTATTTGAGTTACTTTGCAGATTCCGATTAATTAAGTGAAATATAAACAACCCTTAAATCAGACTTTAGTTACACCTGAGTAAAATTCAGGTAAGGTGATTGTCAAGTGCCAACAATCAGGAGAGATATTTGATAGTTGGTGCTTGAGAAGACTAAACATGTATCTGCAATTGACATGAATGGAAACGAGTAATAAAGTATATTCATTACTCGTTATTCTCTACTAATAGTTAATTAAAGACTGTATATTATGGCTATTTTGCACATCCCTTTCAAGATTTTCAAAGGTGTATTGACATATCATATACACAACTACGGTGTAGTTATGCAATGAATGAAACACTTGGGTCACAGGTTCCTCAACAGTGCATGACAAGACATCTATCAATATGTGTGTACCTCCACCATTAAACTGTCATATTCTGCACATTTCTTATTCTATCTACATACATAAGAGTATAATTCATATGTATAATATCAGTTAAAATAAGTGCTTCAACATAGTTAACATTGCAGGAAAGCAATATATTAGACGTTAAGTACTTTGTCAGGCTTAATATTTATCTGTAGATAGATACCCCCAATGTTTTTTTCTTATTTAAAAGAAGACCTTAATCTGTTATTTAATGTTTAAATAAAGGTTAATTCGTTTTTCTGTTTTGCACATCCTCCTATTAATATCTTTGTACATTCTGCACTAAACTGTTTTATTGTAGAGATCACTTATAGTATCTTCTTGATTTTTTATATTCTATATTTATACTTTCCCCCTATGAAAGTATGTACTCTTAATATTTTTTTAATCAAATAAAACACAATAATTCAATAACGTGCTTTAACCACTAGGCGGTGCACACAAGGTACACACAGCCATAATAACTTTGTATTATTAGTGTAGGACACTTTTGTTTTCGTACAACATCTGAAAATGTGTAGTTTTATGCATGCTTTCACATAATTTTACAGCATATTGCTATACTATTTCAGACTCAGTATTTACATTCTTACATTCAAAGAAAATCAGTAATATCTTTAAAAACTACAGTCCTTTTATATCAGCTGTGCACCGTTATGGTGTAAATATAACCTATCTGTGAATTAGATCAAATGTAAAAGTCAGCCGAATTAGTGTTGATACTGCAAGGAGACGTATTGTGTGAAGAGAAATTGAAGATGTTGTTTAATTGTTGAATATATTTATGATCCACGTCAAGTATTCGGTTTCGGCGGCATTTTCTCAGTTTTTCCAAAGGTCTTCTCATCAGGGCTCTATAAATAAAGAACTACGGCAGATCTGTAATATACAATGCAGCCGAACCGTGTATTACAATGCCGTTATGTGATGACTTTCAAAGAGAAAAGCAAGAGCGCTCGGAATTAAGTATTATTTTATTCTTTTAAAATGTTTTCCGGATTTCATATCATATAAACACCAAATCCCAGCATGCATTGCGGCTAAAACATCCAATAAACGAGCTTAAAACCATAGCTGAGGATCTTGGGTAATCGCTCGAAATGCCTACGTCTGTTTCCGGTTATTTTTATTTTGAAATTCAGTTCCTGACGGACGCCAAAAAAAACCGAGATTATGGAATTAAACCAATAAATAAAAGCAAGGATAATTGTGTGTTATTGGTGAGTAAATAACAGTGTGTTATTTTGAAAAGAATAACAAATTAGAAGGAAAAAAAGATTTAAAAAATACAGATTTCAGTATCCTGAGGCTCTGAGCCCCATTTATTTTCCTCACAGACGGCAACAAAAGTTCAAAATTATACGATTTCAAATAAAAGCAATAGGCTAACTGTGGCTTGATATTGAGTAAGAACATGTTTTTATGAACCACACAGCTTCCGGTCTTCCTCGACCCGACCGGAGAAAAAGACGTGCTGCAGGCAGTAGAAATACATTGCTTTTAAAATCGTGCTGTGCAACACGAAAAAAAGAGGCAAATCGTGTTGGTGAACACGAATCAATAGATTAAAAATCGTGTTGGTGAACACGAAATGCCGTGAGACTGGGTTGGCCTGTCAGCCTTCCATATGTGCACAAATTTATCTCGTGCCCTCATTGGTCATGTCCGCGTTCGTGTGTGTTGGAGGAGGGGCTCTGTAAGGAAGTCTGAAGGAAGGGGCAGATTTTTTTCAGCTGCGCAGTTTCAAATTCTAGTGCACTCGTGCTGGTTTCTCCATTCTTACCTACCCTACCTTTAAGCTCATGTTGCCAGTACATCTTTATCTAAAATACCCTGTATGAAACACAACTTAATATACATTTGTGGTGAAGTTGTGTACAAAAAAACAACCAAAACTTATTATTTTCTTCATACCACTTAGAGGAAAGTGGTCTTTGTATTTTGTGTGAACTTCCCCTTTGTAAAATCTCCAAACTATAACATGCTCAAAGAGAGTCAGAGTGCGTTATCAGCTGATTATCCTTTTTATTGTTTTTAATAGAAAGTCCAACTCTCACTGCAGGTACAAAAACAGAGAGCTGGAGTAGCAGCAGGCTGAAGAAGAAGAAGAAGAAGAAGAAGAAGAAGAAGAAGAAGAAGAAGAAGAAGAAGAAGAAGAAGAAGAAGAAGAAGAAGAAGAAGAAGAAGAAGAAGAAGAAGAAGAAGAAGCACTCAATAAGACTACATACTAATACCAAGCATAGCCTCCAATCACTAATACGTAAACCAGACCCTCCTCACTCCTCCGCCATCCTCATCCATATCATATCCCACTCCTCCTCCTCCTCCGACTCCTCCTCCTCCCTCCTCCTCCTCCTCCTCCTCCTCCTCCTCAATCCTCCTCCTCTCCTCCTCCTCCTCCTCCTCCTCCTCCTCACCTCCTCCTCCTCCTCACCTTGGCCTCCTCCTCCTCACCTCCTCCTCCTCCTCCCTCCTCCTCCTCCTCCTCCTCCTCCTCCGCCTCCTCCTCCTCCTACATCCGTCCTCCTAAGGGAGCAAAAGACTAGAAGAAGAAGAAGAAGAAGAAAGCTATTCCCCAGTTCATAATTACAGAAAAAAAATCCTTTTACATTCCTTTATCCCAAAGCTGTACAACGAAAGACGAGGCAACATTTATATATTTCATATTATATATAAAACAACAACAAATCTATAGATCCCTTTTTATGTTGACGGACATTCGGATGAGCACGGGGAGGAAGAAGTATTTAAAATCATTAACAGAAAGATTACAGTATTTCTGACGGATGCAGGAGGGACTTTTGTTTCGTGCTCGCTGATTGTCTTCAGTCTGTTTTGTTTTTGCAGCAGAGAAACACACAGGCGCACTTTTATTTTACTTACAGGCCTAACATCGTTTCCAGATTATATTACAAAATAATTAGGTTTCGGAAGAGATTCTTTAATCACTAATCTATCTGATTTGTGTTGTAATTAAAGGGCCAGTTCACCATTTACACGTTGATCATTCTATATAATATTCTGCAAAGTTTCCCAAAAAGAAGAATGCATTTGGTTTCAGTATTAAAATAAATATATTTCAAGTGTCGGCTTTGAATTGAATTGATTTGAAATGGAGTTTGTACTGGATGATGTAGTAACTTTGTAGAACTCATTGGGAAATTGGCAAAAAATCCATAAAATGCAAGTATTTAAACTAGCTTTTCCCTTCATTGCATTATGGGAAATGTAGCTTCAAGTGTTCTAGGAGCATATTAGGGATTAAAACCACAATACCTCGACCTCTGCTGACTTGAATTAATAAATCAGCGGTCTATTAAGAAAGAAACGTATGGGTGAACCAACCCTTTAATTCAGTTAGTTTTTAAGCTGGAATACAAATATTTTAAAATGTACCAGCTGTGGATTGTTTTTTCTGCTACACTTTGAGTTTAAAACAGACAGAAACATCCTGGTTACACGAAGAAGAGATGCCTCAGGATGAGTTTCACTCCAAAAACAACAACGTCTAAAGCTAAAATAAATCTGTAACGGAAAGACAAAAAGCATCGGGTGTTTGGAGTGAAACTTTTCTGCATGTTAGTTAAACGCCTCATACATCTGTGTGCTTATTCTATTTTATTCTATGTACACCTCTCTCCTCCTGGACATATAAAAAATGCATTTTCTTGATTCGTAGAAACCTGAGATGCTCGTACGTATTTATATTTACAGTTCAGCTCTCCGTCGGTCGGCTCGTACAGAGCAAGGTCACAAGAGCAAGTGTCTGACATTGTTTTTGGAAGCAAGAAGCTTTCTCGCGTTATTTAATTTAACATTCTTTTAGTTACTTCCTGTAAATGTACACATTTATTCTCAGAGAATAATTAGGGTTTCTTTTTCCTAGTAAATGTGTCTATTTTTGACTTTTTCCCCCTCACACATCCTTTGAGTTTGTCTTGCATATGCTTGACTTATTTTTTGATAATGTTCCTCTTTATTCTCAGGTAATATTTAAGGGTTTCCTTTAAGTGCATTTTAACATTTCAGATTAGTTATATATTGCCCAATACTGATTTCTTGTAAATGTACCACTCAGATAATATCCCCCTTTTCCTATGTCTTAATTTTTTCCTTTCTGCAGGTAAATCTTGAAAGCAACATCTTGTTTATGTCCTTCTCTGTAGTGGCCGTGCTCTCAGAGGCTTCTTGAGGTTTAAATACAGAATCTGCAGCTACGCAGACCCTAACGACAGTATAACGACCATCCTAGCTTTTTATATGCATACATTAGACGTTCCTATGTTCCCCTGTTTGAAGTAAATAAATACAGTACTTTTATTCTCCTCGCGCCGGCTCCCTCTCGGGGTCTGCGCTGATTGTCCGAAGCAAAAAGGAACGGATTATTTCTCGAGCTGAGAGATAACCGACCAATCACAAGAGTCCGTTAAGGTGCAGGACGGCGGGCGGGGTCGGCAGCGAGGGGCGTGGTCTCTGTTTCTATTTGGCGTTAGCGGCTCCTGGGTCCATCAGTAGTCTGTCCGCCGGACCAGAGGGAGGAAGAGGAGGAGGAGGATGAAGGTCCGGTGGAGTTCAGAGTTGAGGGGGGGTGGAGGTCAAAGGTCACAGAGCGGTGGAGGTGATCTTCTTCATCCCCCTCCTCTGGGCCAGGGTGGAGCAGCCCACCGGCTCCAGCACCGGGGGGACGTTCCTGTTCAGAGCCGAGTACGTCGCTGCCATCGCACCCTGCAGGAAGAACACAGAATGCATTATTTTACATAAATTGCTGCGTTAAAAAATTGAATAATAAATAGAAATGCTATAATAGAATATAATATATAATATATATAATATATATATATATATATATAATATATAATATAATAGAAACTCTGCTGTCAGATTCTTGGCATATTTAAAATGCATAACTACTGGAGACTTACAGTAAAGATACCAGTAGGGGTGTAACGGTATCCGTATTCGTCCCGTACCGTCGCGGTTCGGACGTCACGGTTCGGCACATGCAGTCACACGGCGAATACGCCTTTTTTTTACGAGTGGGAAAAAAGTCTGTCGCTCAGGGCAGTATTACACTATATATAATCCAGGGGGCGGTATTGCGCCTAAAAGCCAGCCGCCCGTAAATAACAAATGAAGAACAAGAACAAAACACAACAAAACGAACACAATATATGAAGAAGAAAAGTTAGTAGCTATGGCGAGTTCACCCAACACACAGGAGCTAGAACCCACCTGCTTCTTTTAAATCAGCTGTGTGGGAACATTTCGGGTTCCCTGTGGACTACAACAATGATGGGGTGCGAGTGGTGGATCGGAGGAGGACGGTGTGTCGGCGTTGTTCGACAGCTGTGCGGTATGCTAGTGGTAACACATCAGACATGCTCAATCACATCCGAGTCAGTCTCAGTCCCCAGCGAGAGGGTTTTCTCGACGGCAGGTGACATAGTTACCGCCAACAGATCTGCCCTCACTGCTGACAACGTAGACAAACTCATCTTTTTGAAGAACAACTTGAAAATAGAGTAAAGCTTGAGTACCTTTATTTAGGCATAATGGCCTCACACACTCACAAGTTAATTACACATGTTAGACATTGCTCCTAAAGGTACAGATTTTATTTTGTTTTATATTTATCATTGTATTTATTGTATATGTTGACATCAGGAGATGTTATACAGTTCTGTATTGCCTTTTATTGATTGTGATTGAAACACTTTTTTATTATTTATTTTAATATTTTCAAGACATTCTTTTTAGTTGTACAGCTTATTTAACCTTTTTGTTTGACATCAGCCATTATACATAATATGGCCATCTGAGTGTGTCTGTGTTACTGTTTGTGGTTTGTTTTTAACTGTGTAATACAGTTAATGATTCCAAATGGTAGAGTTCCTTATTTTCATACCAAAACTTGCACTACTGTTACAAATAAATAACAGCAAAAAAAATTATGCATTTGGGACTTTTTTTTGCTTTTCCTTGTTGTACCGAACCCGTACCGAACCGTGACCCCCAAACCGAGGTATGAACCGAACCGTGACTTCTGTGAACCGTTACACCCCTAGATACCAGTGAATTAATTTCCCGTTAAAAATCTAATCAAAATCAAAATGTTGACATTGTTTTGAAACACTTTTTAGCGTGAATAAGCATAGACTGACATTAATAATCTCTGAACACTGAACTTCTTTGGGGATGTATCAACAATGATTTCATAGTTTGAGACCCAAACTCTCCTTCTTCTGCACAAACCCCGCTCTCTTTTATTTTGAAATACCTTGACCAGGTGTGGGGCGTCCTGTCTGTTCAGGGTGTATTTGGGCAGCTGGTCCCGGTGAGTCACCCAGGGGTGTCGCAGCACCTGACCCGCTGTCAGCCGTCGGTGAGGGTCCACGTGCAGCATCTTAGACACCAGGTCCTAAAAGGGTGGGGGGGTTTGTAGAAAAACACAGTGAGGTCATAAGTATTAGACAGGATACTTAAGAGTCAGACCCAAATAAAATGATAGCACTAAATGCACTTTCAATAAAAAGCACAATGTTCCACTCTGGGATGTAGTGGAGCAGAAGTCAAATGGAAATACTCAAAGAGAAAATGTAGCAGGGTTGTCTGTCCCCTTCAGACACACCTTTGTCTAAATTAAAGTTGTTTGTTTTTACTCTCGTTTCTGGGTGTTTGTTTTAAAATACAGTTATGTTAGAGTCCATACCTTAGCCTCAGCAGAGACAGAGTTCCAGTATCCTCCAGTGAGGGAGAACTTCCCGCTGCCGATACGAGCCAAAATCTCCTCCGGTGTGTCCTCGGGACCGTTAGCAAAGGGCGTGAACCTTTAAAACATATTCATATATAGATTTGTTACGTTTATTACATTTATCTGTCAGGAATCATTTATAAAAACATTAATATCATATAGGGACACAAAAAACACTCAAATAAGTCATGAAATAACTACAAATATTTCAGTATTTTCAATTATACTACCATATCATTTTTGGGCAGAGTAATGTTTTTTATCCACATTACTCTGGGAATTATTTTAATCTAGCCTTATTTGAGATGGGAACTATATTGGAAATTGTGAAAAATTAGATGTTTGTTGGCAATAATGAAGCAATAAAAATGTTTTCATGTTAATAAAATAAAAAGTGTTTACCCTGTCAGCATGGTGTAGAGCAGGACTCCCAGACTCCAGATGTCACAGGCTGCATCATAACCCTGCTTCTTCAAAACCTGCCAGAAACATCATCAGAAAAATTAAGTTTCATAAATATACCACATATACACACAACCCTTCCTCTATGCATACGTTAATACTGGACAGCTGTATTAATGGTATTTAAACAACAATTTATTTAGCCTTTTACTTTTGTTTAGTTGCATTAAAATAAATCAAGACAGTGACAAAAAACACAAAAAATAACACTTTCAAAGAAGTTAAGAAAGAACATTTGAACAAAACTAATCAATGCAACAAACACTAAAACATAAAAGACATTAAGAGTGAGAAATGTCCTGATACGGACTTCGTACCTCAGGAGCGACGAAGTTTGCGGTGTAGCACGGCGTCATCAGAAGACCGTTCTCCGCTCGCAGCTGTTTGGCGAATCCGAAGTCGCAGATCCTGATGGACTCGGCGTTCCCACTCTCGTCCACGTACAGGATGTTACTGGGCTTCAGGTCTCTGTGCACCACCTGGAGAAGGAAGATGTTTACTTACAGGGTACATTTTCTGTTCAAAGCTGTACTCCAAGATATCTATGCAAAATCCGTGTATCTGCTTTTTTTTAAATTATTTGACATGATTTTATTATCTCTTCAACAACACTACAATTGAATTGGTCCCCGTTTTCTCCCATGGCTTAAAATCCACCTTTATTTGAAAATACTCAGTTCTTTGTGACCCGAAAGATGAACTAGATACGATAAATCTGAACAGTATACCACAATAAATAATCAGAGAGAATAACTCGTTTTTACATGCTGCATGGAAATCAGATGTAATGCTATCATTAAGAGCAGACAAGTAAACAATTCTAAAAGGTATTTTTCTCTTAAGGACAGAAACATACCCCCTGCACATGCAGGTACTCGAGCGTCTTGGTGATGGTGTACAGGACGGCGCTGGCTTCTCTCTCTGAGAAAAACTTCTGCCGCAGGATTTTATCGAGCAGCTCACCTCCTTTCATCAGCTCCGTCACCAGGAACACCGAGCGGCCGTCGTCATACACCTAGCACACGGCAACAACACAAAAATAACCTTTTAGTCACTACATTATTCATTACAAATCATTTATTCTGAGAGATTTCTAAATTAAACCAATCACGCCTTCTAATTCTGGATATCCGTTCCTTCAATAGAACCTAAAACATGCATCATTATCAAATTACAATAAAAAACCAAGAGGTTCAGCCTGAAAGGTAAAGTAGACCTGATACTGATTAATTGAGACTATGCGGTAGACTTGGTACCGGTGTTTTCTTTTCCTAAACAACAAGTTTTACACTATTTTATATTTGAGAATACAAATATTCAAGAAAAAGAATTTGAGTCCATTAATCAATCAGCAGAACATTCATTAGCAGCTAGTTAAATAATAACATCTGTTTTACAACAACCTTAAATGTATAAGGCATAAATGTAGGTATTATCAGCTTCAGTTACAAGAAGTGATTCAAGGAAGTTTTCATCCAGCAGCAAGACGATATTTTTAACTCCAATAATTACGAGTGAGTCATGAAACCATTGCATCAAACCAGGGAATTTAAGTTCTTTTGTCCACACAGAAATGTGGGTTCAGCCCGACTGAGTCACTCTGGACAAACACGCAGATTAACACCTACAATTACAGAAATACATGTGAAATTCAGTGGATGGAAAAAAGGACTTTGTGTTTATTCTATGGCGTTGTCCCTGGCATTAATAATAATAAAAACACCATAATAAAGGAATACATTGACGTCCTACTCCTCAGTATGTCCTTTAATCCAAATGCTCCTGGATAATATTTTATAATACGTTTTATTTACTCACATCTTTGAGTGTGATGATGTTGGGATGTTGACCGTATCTCAGCAGGATCTCCACCTCCTCCGTCGGGTCTCTTTTCGCCTTATTAATGATCTGAAAACAGAAGAAAAACAGAGTTTAAAGTAAAGGAAAAGTTAAATGTGGACAATATATATTACGTTTGGATGTTTGTGTGTTTCTTACCTTCACTGCGTACTCCATGCCGGTGCCTTTGTGCACGGCACGTTTGCAGATGGAGTACGAGCCCACACCGATGTCCTCTTTTATCTCGTAGGCGTCTGAAAACTGAGATGTGCTTCTGTGCAGCTGCTACGTGCAAAGACACACATGTCAAAGCAAACATTAATAATAATAATAATGATTCACTAAGGCATTCATACCTATTGCTCATTATAGAAGGTGGAAAGGTTAATGTATTGTCTTTTAAAGAATTGTATTTTATTTAACATTTTACTTTTTCTGTTTGCATAGATAACATTTATCTTTGTATTGCACATTATTGCTTTGAATTCTTATCTTTAAATGTAATTCTAGACTGGGGTTTCACTCTATAAATCTGGTTATTTGTCTCCCCTTGCAGTATGAAAGTATGTGTGTACCTGTACAATATTGCTGGGTAGTGGTTGTGTGTCCTCTTCTGTTATTGCTACAAAACTGAAGCCTCTGAACAGCTGATGGGCGTTGGCGCTGGGAGGAACCCCCGGAGAGTCTGAGACACAGAAACAGAGACAGCTGCTGAACCTCACCGCTCGGACCAATCACATTTTATTCAGGATGAAGTCAGGTCACACGGTGCGTACCTCGGGGTGTTTTAGCTGTGAACTCTGGATCGAAATAGAAAGTGTCGTCAGGTCGACCTGCAGCAGGTTTGAAGGGCGGAGGGATCTCTCTGCGGAAGAGTTTCTGCAGAAAACAGACAGAAAGAGTCAATATTTAAAAGTTTTTGTGTTGCAAAGAAAGTCTCTCTTCTTGAATTATAAACTAAATCTGATGAGAAAATGGCTTCAGAATCAGAAACCCTCTATTAATCCCACAGCGGGGAACATCTTCTTTATTCTATCTTGATTTTTGTTCTTAAAATGTTTCTTTTCAGACTTGATCTAACAATAAAGTATAATAATATAATTTATCATCATGTCATATCATAACAAGGCAAGCATGTTATAACATCAAATACGTACACAAATATGATAAAAACACTAATAAAGTCTATTTGAAGAAGGTACTGACGTTCCAGTCGATGGTGCTGAAGAAGTGATGTCTCTTTATCTCTTCAACGCTGTCTGGTCCAGCTCCTACGAAAAACAAACTGTTAGTTCACTGTTTTATCAAATAAATCTGCCAATAAGAAGCATATTATTTTAAAGGAGTGGGAATCTGCCTCTGCCCCTTTGCTTTAAAACTATTCTCGATAATTAGCGTGTGTTGTGTTCAATTGGAGAACATTAGGTCGTCCTTATTTGAATCAAACTTTAGATTTGGGGTCAATTTATGGATTATATCAGAAAGAAAATGGATTGTGATGCAACTGAAAAAGGTATGTTGATTTATATACCCCTTTATTTATGAATGTGGATTAACGTACAGTTCATTCTTACAACTTGGAAATGTCCAGGCACTGGCGAGCATCTCTCGGCATGCATGCATTCATTTTCAAAAAACTTGCTCTGAAAGTGCAAAAGAAAAGAAAAAAGTTGTACCTAATCTGTTTCCAGGGTTGCGTTTGAAAAGGTTCCTGAGGAGACTCTGAGCTTCTGAACTCAAAAACTGAGGCATTCCCAACTTGGCTCTGTGAAAAAAAAGAGAGAGAGTTTATATTCAAGTAAAATCAAGAATAGCTGCAGAATGACATCAACTGCACATATTGTATATCCAGACTGAAGCTTCTGAAAGACGCTACGCAGGAAACAAGGTCAGCGTTCTGCAGAGAGCGTGCTCAGCAGCTTTCTACACACAGATACTGATAAATAGACGACTGAGGAAGTTAATATTTCCTCTGATTAGTTTTTTATATTTTCTCTTTCAAAGATTCTCAATCACTGTCTCTTCCATAGCCGTTATAAATCGCAAGAACTCCCGAGTCCTCTCCTCTTCCTCCTGAGTGCTGCACTTTATCTCCTCAAATATAACCCTGCAGGATGTACAGTCATCTGTAATATAAGCTGTTAGATGGGGATTTGATACGAGTGTAGCGGCGATATAAAGTGTCTTACTTGAGGATCATGGTCATCGTCTCTTTCCGGTCTTTTCCTTGAAACGGCAGCGTTCCTGTCAGCATCTCGAACTGAGAGAAAGAACAGATCATATTTCCAGGGTCAAAGATTTAAACAACTGCCATTGCAACTCAATTGCAATTTAAAAGCTTGTTGCAAGTGTTGTAATGTTTTCTTCTTACTGCCGCACAATTCATTTGGGCTCCCACATTTCAATGAACATGATCCCACTGTGTTATTGGTGTACAGAAGCAGCATTTCAAATCAAGCGCTTCCTAAACTAACACTCAGCCTTCTGTAATATAATGAGAACAAATGAAAATGCTTTGAGTTGTGTGAAAAATAACCTTATTTTGACCTCTTAAGATTTCATAAATGTTGTTCTTTTTGTGCAAAATAAACCAAAACACAGACAAAGAGTAAGATCTTAGATAGTTTAGAATAAATATGGAACAACATTTTAATCATAACCTCTTTACTTAAATGAAATCAGGTTAGAAATACTACTTAAGTAAAAAGAATAAAAGTATTGGCATCAAAATATAATTTACACAAAGTAAAATCCTTATTATGCAGAATAATATTGTTATAGTTATTATCAATCGACTCCAAACAGTAGGAGGTAACTCAGATATCCCCCCCCCTCACCATGAGCACGCCGTACGACCACCAGTCGGCGCTGTGTGTGTGTCCTCGTCGGTTCACCACCTCGGGGGCCATGTACTCCACCGTCCCACAGAAGGAGTACGCCTTGTTCTCGTGATCGATTGACTCCTTACTCAGGCCAAAGTCTACACGCACACGCACACGCACGCACACGCACACACACACACACACACACACACCACACACACACACACACACACACACACACACACACACACACACACACACAGTAATAATGAAGTGATAAAAGAGTTATATATAGAGTGTTTTTATTCCCATGCTCCTTTATACTTCTCGGTCACAACATTTATCTGACAGCTTTATTTACTTTATAAATTACATTTTTAGGGCTGAAATGATTAGCTGTACATACATACTGATATTTTATAAGCGTTCTTATACAAGTACAGCTGAAATGATTACGGAAACACACAAACGCACACACACGGTGTAGGTGTAATATTACGCACCAGTCAGCTTGATGTGTCCCTCCTCATCAAGCAGGATGCTGAAATGACAGAAGTGCTTTTAATATTTATTTTCCAGGAAATGTCTGCGAACATGTATAATGCAGCATGACAGAATAGTCTGTGTGTGTGTGTGTGTGTGTGTGTGTGTGTGTGTGTGTGTGTGTGTGTGTGTGTGTGTGTGTGTGTGTGTGTGTGTGTGTGTGTGTGTGTGTGTGTGTGTGTGTGTGTGTGTGTGTGTGTGTGTGTGTGTGTGTGTGTGTGTGTGTGTGTGTGTGTGTGTGTGTGTGTGTGTGTGTGTGTGTGTGTGTGTGTGTGTGTGTGTGTGTGTGTGTGTGTGTGTGTGTGTGTGTGTGTGTGTTCCTACTTCTCTGGCTTCAGGTCTCTGTAGATGATTCCGAGGCTGTGGAGGTGATCGAGGGCGAGAGCGAGCTCTGCCAGGTAAAACTTCACGTCTTCCTCCGTGAACATCACCTGCAACACACAACCACAGGATTCACTACAGGTGATTTATTTTAAGAAATGTAGAACTTGCCGTAAGGAGATGGATTGCAGCTTGAAAATATGAGAAAGTAAAACAACGTAAACATTCTCCATGTGCGCATTTTTCTGTTTGTTGGAGAGTTTGTTGTTCTTAATTTAAAACACACATCTGTCATTTTCAATTCACCATGCTGTCTTTATTCCCTAAACGTGTTTCTTTCCCAAAAGGTCCTTTTTAAAGGCAAAATGTTTGTGGAATAAAGAGCTTTGTGTCCTAGAAAGAATGAAAATAATTGAACATCTTATTTCCCTTGAGAGAACACACGATCCTGACTAAAACAGTTGCTTTATTTTGTATATGATGGTTTCATTTGATGGCCCTTGACTGATTTGAATGCAAATAACCAAACTCTTAGGTTTAAAAATCCCTGTTGAAGAGGAGTTACCTCCTTGGAGAGCCGAGTGAAGAGATCTCCTCCTCGCAGGAAGTCCAGGATCAGGTACAGCTTCCCCTCCGTCTGAAACGCTGAGGGAGGAAAGGAAATAAGGAGATAAGATCTGAGAAGTTTCCTACACGCTGAACATTTCCACTGCTAAAAGAAGAATACTGAGTTTTAATTGGCCAGTGAGGTGCTGGTCTGTGATTGGCTGCCTCACCATAATGCAGTTTGACGATAAAGGGGTGGTTGACCTCCACCAGGATGTCTCTTTCCATCTTCGTCCTGACCCGGTCACGCACTGAGTGGAAAACACGTGAATCACAAGAGAAAGCACTTAGAGAAAAGGGCTAACTAAAACATCCTCCCCTATTTGGATTTCTATTTTTGGATCCCAGATGGCAGAGGGTGAATCACAAGGAGAAGACGGCAACAAGAGTTCAACAAAAGAAGGAAATAAACACATAATAAAGGAGCATGTTGTATTTTTTTCCACCAGCAGATGGTGTATGACTTTAGGAAGTTATTTGTCCACTTCCTCCCTCCCTGCACATCTTTGTATCTGCGTCTCATGTTAAGGTGTGAAATTCCACTTTGGGCGATGATGGCTGAGCAAAACAAACTCACTAAATCCACTTGAGAAAGATTTACTACCTGAAAAGTACGCTGACTTCCTCCAAAAACTATATTTGAGAGCAAAATACCTTCAGCCTACCTTTAAAAGGTTTGGAGGAATAAGAGTGATTTCTATTCAAAAATTAATTAAAATATATAAAAAATATATATAATTATTGTTTGATTTCTATTAATATTTTGAAAACATGCTTCTAATCTTTAAGTCGTTTGAATTACTTTTTTATTTCTCTTTTATTTCAACTTTTTTAATTACTTTTAAACTTCTCTTAATTTATTTTTTGGTTCCATGTTTTGTTTAAAACTATTTATTAATAATTATATATATATATATAAAAAAAAAACAAGTGTTTCGCATCCCTAAAGAAGAATACAGACTTAAAATAACTTCATTTAAAAAATGTTTCTTTGTACCTTTCAGTGTAGCTTTCTTCAGGACTTTCATGGCGTACAGCTGACCAGCGTCTGGCCCCGTGACCTTCCTCACCAGAAACACCTAAACACACAAACACATCAAAGCTATTATAAATAAATCAATTTATGTGATAAAAGTGTGTATGAACAGTGTAATGTACTCATAATTGCCAAATGGTGTGCATCAGTGCATATGTGTGTGTGTGTGTGTGTGTGTATGAATTTGTGTTTGTTTGGGTTAGCCTTCTTTTTCTACGTCATACTTATGTCTATTAACATAAACATAAAGAAACGCATACAGACACACACCAACACACAGGCTAATTGTTCATTCATAAAGACAATGAAAGTGAGTGTGAAGGGTCCTCAGACCGCTGTATCCATGGCAACAGCCTCCCAAAAACACCAGCACAAGGGAACATACACACACACACACACACACACACACACACACACACACACACACTTAAAACGGATCATTCGGATTGTGTTGAAGTGTACTTGAATGAGGTACTTCTACACAATCAGTACAGTAAATGCAGCTTAAAAAGAGGAGCAGCTGTTATCTATGCTCTCTTCAAAGCCACTAGACTCCATTGATAAAAACATTTTAATTTAACCTCGCAGAAAACAGGAGTCGCTGCTCTATCACTGCTTCATTGTTTGGATTATGATTAGGGGTGTAACAACATACTAACCAATTCAGATTAGATATAACTTTATTGTCAACGCACAGAGAACTGAGACAACAATATGCAGTTTACCAACTAACCAGATGCAAAACGCAGTAGTGCTAAGTATATTTACATATGTATGGGAATCAATAGAAAGATATGATTATGAACGTTATAAGCAGGAAGGTATATAGTAAAGTATGGAGTTATGTATATAATGCTGTACCGTATATAATGTGACACACACACACACTGATTTATATATAAAGTTTAACACACACTCACCTTGCCGAAGGATCCCTGTCCGAGGACTTTGCGCAGCTCGAACTGCCGCGGGTCGCCTTTCTCTGATCCCTCTTTCACATGATTAGTGATGTTGATCTCCTTGATCGGCACGTCATCCTGTAACACACACGGTATAAAGATTAGCAACACAGCCTCAAATTCACACTCTAAATTATTATTATTTTTTTTTTTAGAATGTCGAGGTAGGACACAAAAATATTGTGACAGTGTCACTCTGGGTAATTATGATGAGCAATTTAACTTATACTTTAACTACATTTTCCTATTAATACTTACATACTTTTAATTAAGTAACATACGAAAGACTTCCCACCCCCTGATGGTAACCACTTCTAAAATATCATTGCATTAAGATTTCCCGTGGGACTTACTGCACAAACTAGGAAAAAACATAGATAAATATAGATAGAAAAGTATGCATTCTAGGTTGACAATATACAAAGTATTATTTTAGCAACTCATGGAAGTAAAAGAAGAGTTATTTGCTTCAAATGTAACAACAGGAAGTGACACTTGGTATGTCTTAAATGTCCGGTTAGGATGTATTAGAACGAAATCTAAAATGAAAATTGTAAATAAGCAATCTGTATGTAAAAAAACCACCTGTATGTAAATTGTAAATAAGCCATCTGTATGTCAAATATGTCTTATATGTCTTAAATGATATGATGAATTGGAAATGGGGGACCCTGATGTAAACAAGACGAAAGTCTTTCTCTGGTCTGCATCCCCTTAACAGTTGTATGTTTTGAGCTGTACTGTACTGTACCCAATATACAAGCTGTTAATAAACTTTTCAATCAATCAATCAATCAATCAATCAACATAACAACTCTGCTTTGTTGGAAAGATATAGACCAATTGTAGACCCATTTATACCCTCAATAGACCAGAATGCATTGCGGGAGGTAAGCAAGACCAGGCAGGTTCCCCCACTAACAGAAGTTTCATTTATTTATTTTTAAAAACAATTCCCCTATCATACCTCTTTCTTATTATCCATCCATGTATCATACACCTCAAAACTACAACGGCTGGATGAAGCAAGTTAAGGCATGATCTCTGGCCATTTGAAAATATGCATTCTGGGAAATGCAGTATGTAAACACAGCAGTAAACTAAAACAACATTCTCTGGAGCAGCAATGTTATCAGTGCAAATATCAGTTTTTCTCATATCAGTGAATCATACAACAGGTTGAGCAGGGTTGCCGAATGTTCGTCATCCGCTCAGTGGGAAATTAGACACACACACACACACACACTATCTAAACGGGACACACACACACTATTTAAATGGGACACACACACACTATCTAAACGGGACACACACACACTATCTAAACGGGACACACACACACTATTTAAATGGGACACACACACATGCACAGTTGTCATGGAGCCACCCCCGATACCTGCTCCCTGCTGTAGCTGAGTGACTAAAGATACCATACTGTATGACTGTACTCACAATCCCTCCATCAAACTCTTCTTGCTATCTGGGCAATAATAACCCTAACAAGTCAACACATCCAGACTACATTTCCCATCGTCCTCTCTGCCCTGCGCTCCTAAATCCATCCTATTCTCTCTTTCAGTCCACCTTTTTTATACATACTGCTTCACCCTCTCCTTCCTCCTACCTGTAGGTCCCAGGTGGGAGACATGCTGGCTGCCGGGTGCCCCAGTGCATTGTGGGTCCTGTAGTCCCGACTGTGGCTGAGGCTCTGTGGCGCTAACATGCTCCCTTGCATCGACTGCAAGGCTACAGGATGGAGCTCTTCTCCCTCTCTCTCCAACTTTCTCTCTCCCTCAGAGACATATTTCCCTCCCTCGCTCCATCCCACTTTCTATCTTTTTCTATCTTTATTTGAACCGTTCTCACCTCTCCTCTGTGGTTCTCACCAATTCTCTGCTTCTCTTCCTCTATAGGAAAACGTCACATATTAGGAGTAAGGGGGGCTTAGAAGTGCAAGTATTCAGATACTTTGAGTAAAAGTACCAATACATCACTTCAAAATACAGAATTACAGTTAAAAAGTCATGCCTTCAAAAGTTAAAAAAGTACTCAGGTGTCATCAGCTAAATGAATTTAAGGTACCAAGAGTGAGTAAGCAAGTGCATAATACCACCATTCTATATTGCTATATTTGCTATATGTATTCATAACGATAGCTTCTTTTAATTGGTAAAATCGTTGTTGAAATAGACCTAGATAATATAGTTATTTTAACTTAAATAAGGAATTGTTGAAGCAAGCTTCTTGTAAACCTGTGTTACAAAACGTTTCAATTATATGAAAAACATGTTCCTATTTCTTAATGTCAGGCATATAATAAAACAGCCTAACATGCACACTGTGATGATCACACTGCATGTCATCATCGCTTAGTATGAAACATCACCACGCTGCATGTAAATGAGATTTCTCTGATTGGACAAAGACACTGAATGCAATTCGACGCAAAACAGAACAGAAATGAACAAAAAACGATGCATTACGAGAAAAAAACATTGTGTGCCTTGAAAAATGAGGAGTTAAATGTTAAAGTGTGTGTGTGTGTACGTGTGTGTATGTGTACGTGTGTGTACGTGTGTGTGTGTGAGTCAGGGCACAGATGGAGAATCAGAGCCGAAGCGACAAGATGCTCATGTAGCACCTCTTAATCACAGATTAAAACTGCAAACCCTGCACCTGTGCTCTGAACACACACATCAATACACACACACACACACACAAAACGTGCATACACACACCTGTACAGTATGTGCCCACACACACTTTACCTGCCTCTCTAACCTGTTATTATGCCTGTTAGTGTTTATTTCCATCTTAATTGTGCAGCTTCCAAATGAACTTTTCCGCTGATTATAAAAATATATTTAAAAATAAAAAACAATACATTATGTATATTGATAAGCAGGATAAATGCTCCATTACATTGTTATACATTTACTTAAAAATGCATATATATATATATATTGTAATAGATGTCGAATCCCCAGAGATATTGAAATAAAACGTAAACAAACGTATGAGGAAAGAAAGCCACAAATCCACACATAATGATGGTATATCTAAGCTTTTGACTTACTGTGCAGTGATGCAATACATTTCTTTCACTTTTTTCTAATTTGCTTCTCTTGAAATAGTAGATTATGTAGCAGTTTTCTTTTTATGATATATTTACTGCTGAGTTATTAAAATGAGCACCATGAGCCGTGGTAAACAGTGAGGTAAACAGGCCTGCAGTGAGCCGCAGTAACACAGCTTCCCATCATCTGGGCAGCATCACATCTAATTAAGAGTCCTCCTGAGGGAGAGAATCAGTGTGATGCTGTTACACACTCACAGCAGCAGACCTCCCTATTATTACATTTGATCTTTTTTATTCAATTAACATAAACTATGCACACGTTTTTAACTGCTGCTGGTCCGACGGGATATCAACCAGTCTGGCTCAACGGAGATCTCCTTATGAAGGATTTATAGAGCCAAATACTTTGAATAAGGGCTGCGTGATATATCGTTTCACATCGATAACATACATGTGAAAAGCAGAACTCGGAATGTCAATCCATGCAAAATGATTATCTTTCTTTTACTTAAGTTAGAACTTTTATATATTGTGTTTTTTATCTGAATGCTTCTTCCACCACTAAGACTCTTTCTAGTACAGCATCGTTTAATGTCTTAGGACACGTCAGCCTTAGAGAGGATGAGGAAACGTGAATCCCCCTCATCTCCCCCCTATGACACACATACAAACCCACACAGACAAACAATTTGAAATATGTTTGAGTAATGTATCCATTTCACAAATACATTCACGTGGTGACACTTTGGAAAATGCTTGCTCACGTACTCCCTATGCAGTCAGCATATTGCCAAATGTGTTTCAGAATCAAACTGTTTTAAAAATCAGCCTGTGCCATCAGCTGTTCTCACAAACATAAACCGATCCAACAACAGCAGTTCCTCAGCAAGAAGGTGGAGATACTTTTCCATGCTTACTGATTTAAACTCATCACTATGAACCACAGTCTGAAAGTTACTGACATCTATCCAAACTTATAGCATCCAACTGGCAAAAGCCAAGAAGTGTTTTAGCCACGACTCAACGGGCCCAAACGTCAAAATGCCAGAAAATAATGGAAACTTATTTGAGAGGCTTAAAACAGCTTGCTTTAAAATAACATTTTTGAGAGACTAATAGAGAATTTGACTTTTTTAAATGAGAAAAGCATATTTATATCTGAAAAAAAGTATTTTCTAGCATTTATGCATAAATAAAGATATCTGCAAGCATATGAGAATTATGATTAGGTGATTATGAAAAGTTTTTGAACAATCCTTGCCTTTATTTTCACATAAAATACCATAGTTGAAAGGCTCAAAACAGCTTTTTCTGAGGTTTCTTTAATGAAAATACAGATGTATTGACTATCAAAACATTCTTTGATTATTGACTGACTCATTGCCGCTCTACTTACAGCGTTATAATGCTTTTCCGGTCCATTACAGCCTAAAATCTTTCCCAAATTGTTCCCGCTATACTCCCAGCGACCTCCATCAAGGTTCTGCGCCGGGCGCTGCAGCAGGAGGCGTCGCAGCGCCTTCAGACGGCTCCTCAGGGCCCGTAGGAAGCCCGTGGCGGCACACACACACTTGGTCGATGTGGCCGTCATCACTGAGAGAAGGGAAGCAGCAACACTGAGGCTTATACTGCACACAGTCAGTGTGAGGGGGATACCCACAGGAGGGGAGGAGGTCCAAATTCAGAAGGGAAGTGGGATCCCCCCTTCTGTGCCCCCCCCCCACACCACCTCTCCCCCTCAGAGCAGCTGTAACTCTCCACCCAGTGTTTCCATCAGGTGTCCCGGAGATCCCCGCTCCCATAACTCTCCGACCAATCACTGAATAGCACGTCTATTTTCACACATTCACAGGCCAAAACATCGATGAATCTGAGACGCAATCTGTCATCTGAATGTGGGAAAGCTGTTAAAAGCACGAGGAATTGTTTATTTATCCCGATAAAGAGGAATTAAATTAGTTTTTGGGCTGCAAATCACAACTTTGTTCTGAGTATCTTT